TTAGTGTCATATATAAAACTGTCTGTGAAGGGTTTTGTTATAAAAACCTTCTTCATTTAGAAAACAGAGAGCTGATACTTCTCCCAGAGAACCTTTTAACACTGCTCTACAGTTTCTGATAAATAAATAAAATGATCTTCATTAAATTTTAGTAAAACTAATGATGTTCTAAACACAAAAATGCTAAAATAAGAAAATAGGCACTGGAATATTAATTTTTAATGGACAAAGTCTGGATACAGATCTTTTATTGCATAATAAAACTACAGAGTTAAAAGCAGCAGATGAGACAGGTTTATACTTTCAGCTCCTCAGAAACCTGCTTGAATCACTCCTCGGCCTCACCTGAGCGCCTGAAATAAACGTGTCAAATCAGGAGTGTAAATGATGTTTTCAAAGCTGCTTAGTGTCTAAAAGTGCATGTGAAAAGGTTGTTATCTACACACACATGAGCTCAGATGACGCTGGTTCGAGGTCACTGTCTCCGCTGATTTCTTTGCACCTTTTCCTCATCAGATGACACCTGAAGCCGACAGGTGATGTGTCTGTTAAAACAGTGAAACAAATGGATGCTAATTAGGCTAAAAACAGACTTCACTGTGTGTAGTTACTGTGGAATAAAAATTAAATAACCTAAAATAAAATATAATACAATAAAAAGTCTCTATCCACAGTGACATTATTGCAGTCTGTCACTTCCCACTTGATCAGCAGATTGGGTTTTCAAGTATTTAACATTTATTGATTTTTTATTTTTTTTAATTAAGATTTTTACTGAGGAAATAACGATTTTATCCTTGATTACATAGTATAAATCTTGTTAATTACACGGAAGTAATACCACATGTGTATTTTATATCTAATTATTAATTAAAAAAAAAAAAAAAAATTAGAAATCTCACATAATTTCCTGGAGGTTTGCACATGTGCACTAAGGATAATCCTGTAATCTTTGGCGGGTGATTAGCGTCTTGGCTTCTACCGTTCTGAGATCAGTTTTGATATTGCAGGAATATACGCATGCGCAGACGTGTGGCGTCGAAACTAAACTTCCGTTATTAATCGTTATGATGCAGCAGTAGCAAGTAAACGAGCAAAATGTACTGATTTATCATCTTTGTGCAAGAAGTTTGAGACAGAATATTGTTTCAGAAGTGGCGCAGCTCCTTTCAGGAATAGCTCGGTACGTAGGTTGTGTGCGTAGCGGGAGAGGCAGAGAGAGATGCTAGCGACCGGAGCGGACAGTTAGCTAGCTAGTTAGCAGTTAGCAGCGTAGCTGTTTGTCAGTTGATTAATGTTCCGGCTCCTCAAGACCGAAGTTCCCGCGTCTCCTCTGTGCTTCAACCGCAGTCCAGACGATGAGCAGGGAAAGCTTAACAACACTGAGGCAGGTAAATACACGATTCTGGCTCTGCTTGTTTATCAGTAAAAGTCACCACACCTGGTGCACAGTAACTACAGGTCAGTTTTTGTTATTTTCATATCACAGTGTTTCCTCATAAAGTTACGACTCTATCACAGAAAAATATAACTTCATCTTTGAAATATTAAATCAGATTTTAGGTTGAAAGCAGCTTGTTATATTTTTGGGGGTAATAACTGTTGGTTATTGTGAGATTTGGTGCAGCAGATGAGCTTGCATATAGAAGGTTATTGTGCATGTTATGACTAAAGCATGAAACCTTCTCCTCTGTTTCTGTAAACCATGAAGTTTATTTTCAGACATGGAGTCATTTCAGGAGTAATGAGTGTGGTCCAGACCAAACTAGCATGTTAGCTTCTAATTAGAGTGTTTGCTAATGTGCCAGCTAGTCACGTCATTCCATAGAACAAACAGCAGAAGTTGTCACGGTTTTTAACAATGCTATAGCTACCTTAACACCTGAAAATGGGGGGGGGGGGTCTGCAGTCCCCCTGGCAAAATATGTGCCCTAAGGAAATTGATGTTACACAGCCATAGCAGCAAATAAGCACCACCTATGCAATTTTGGCAAAGATATACATGATTATAATGGAGGATGGGGGCAAAGACTGGAGGAATGCATTGCTGAGGTCAATTAACTCTCAAGGTCACCAGAGGTCAGATACAAATAGCCTTCACATCTGAAATAAAACCTTGGGGTATGTAGATTATATGATGAAACTCTCATGCTTTAGTCATTGTTTTGCCTGTCTGCCTCACTAATTAAGGTTGGGTTACTGTGAGTCTTCGTGGAATCAGTGTAAGTGAATGTAAATGACAAAAACAAGTCTACATCTGTGTAGCTTGCATGTAATTTCATCCTCAGGTGCTTTTCTGTCTGTTTCTGAAATTGAGCTGCGATTAAAGGAAAACTCCAACATGTTGAAAAAAACCTGTGGGAAAGAGAAAACACCTGAAAACAGATCTAATCTGCAAACAAGAGAAGTGAGGAAGAAGAAGCTGCTCCCAGGTCAGTGTTTTCATTCAGACCTCCAGGCCAGCGCTGTGATATTTGAAAAGACCACTCTGACCCACAGGAGGAGGCTCTTTATTGCATGACTGAGTCACAGACTGATAACAGAGAGCACACAAGAGAGGGCAGAAATACCAGAAAACAGCCTGTAGGGTTTCTACTGACTTCACAACACTTCACTAATGCATGTGCTTTTTAAGGTGGTGCATGGAGGTAATGTTAAAGACAACAGGAGCACAGACAAAGTTCTTTCCACCGAGTCAAGTGGCAATAAATCCTGTGTTTTGATCATTTACAGCGGACCGTGCATTGTGGGAAAAGTCTGAGAATGCATGGGTTAGGATTACGTCTTATTTTCTGCACCCAGCCCACAGACATAGACACAAAGTGTGGCAATGGTTGACCTACAGGGGGCGCTACAATCAGCCCTCTTACAGTCCAAATCTGCTTATGCTTCATGTAAATGTCTCTTTAACCTACACAGATAAGGGTGTTATGGGTAACTTTCGGCTGCAAAGGCTCAGGGAGGTGCACCCCAAATCTCAACATGTCATGTAAACAAGTTGTACATTACACAACATGCAGGTATAAAAGAAACAGCATGTTCACCTACATGCAGCCCAAAGCAGCAGATTCCCGCCTGAAGGACCAGAGCAGCAGAGTGCAGCTGTGTCTTAATGAAAGTGTGTAGAATACTTAAATCTCTTTTCTAACAGGACAAACGTCAACACTGTCGCCTTAAAATTAAGTTTATGAAATTCTAAATTATTTGGCCTGATACATTTCAGAGGAAATATAACTGCAACATAGATAATGATCATCATCAATAAAACAAGTACTTTGTATTTACAATTAGTTTTCCTTTGATTGGTTCTTGTTCATCTGTGTTTTGGTCTTGGTCATCTTAATTGTCTCCTGACATTGCCCACAGTCGAGTCACAATGTGTAAAAAGATATGATCACTTTTGGAGTCTAATTTGGATAAAGTTCAAGGCTTTGACACTGGAAACTGGGGTTTGGGTCCTGGGTCCCGTGTGTGGGTCAGTGTAGATGAAAAGTAAAGATGGAGGTTTTGGTTACATATGTACAGAAAAAGTGGTCACATCTTATCTCATGTCACTACTGACTTTTTCAGTATTTAACCAAGATGACGAACTTTCCCTCACGTGTCAAACCTGCTTCCTGCAGCAGCTCACGGTCGATATCACTCAGGCTGCAGTTACTAAAAACTTTTCTTCTTGATCTGGATGCTATTGGATAGATGCTTTGCTATTAGTTAATAAAGGTCATTTTTAGGGAACAGCTGCATTAAAATAACCATTTGAAACAAACTGTACATGGATGTATTAATTCAGTGAAGAATGCAACTAACACAGATTTACTAATATGACACTGCATTTCATTAGTTTAATTATCAATGAATCTGCCTTTATTTTCTTGATTAATCAATTACAATTAATCTTGCATTTGAAAATGTGGGTTCATTTTATATTTTAGGACCAGACATCTAGATATTCTCAGCACCAGAACGCAGAACCTGTTTGAACGCAGAGAGAAGAAAGTCGATGTACAGTGAGTCAGAGTTACTCAACACTAACAGTGTCTTGTTAGCCGAGTTTAACCTGCTGAAGTTTCTAACAGTTAGTGAAACGCAGAAACAGACTGTCAGAGGTCGTCGTGACGAGGAGCTCAAAAAGACAGTTTTGAGAAATGCAAACAGCCAGAGAAAATCACTCTGACAGCTCCGGGAGTCTGACAGCAGAGAGAGAGAGAGGGAGAGTGACTGTCACTGATTTAAAGCTTCAGTGTTACAGGTAGAAAATCCTTCATGGGTGAAAAGTTTCCTAACTCAACTCTTCAAAAAGTATTTCTCAAAAAACAGGAATCTGAAATGAAGAGAGGTCGTCCAAGAGAGTGAAGTAACAGTTTAAATGTCTTATTTTATCTGACCGAAAATACAAAACCCAAAGACAAGAGCAATAAATTCTATATTTGACATTTTGACTTGATAAATAACTGAACTGTTATTTGATTGATTAACTTCCTGTCAACCAATTGATTATTCAACCAACTGTTCTTCCACCTCAGAGACAAACTCTGAGATGATAGAAATTTGGATTTGAACTGAGACGAAGTTCATTTACTTCATCATTAACTTCAGGACTTTTAGCCACAGTGCAGGTGTGTATGTTTGTGTATTAGAGGATTTTCACTGCTGTCCTTTTCTTTGTGTTTCCCACAGGTTGATCATTTATCTGTGGTGGTGGGAGGGGCGGCGTGTGACCGATGTGCATGCAGAGACTCATGCAGTTTAGAGGGTGAGGCTGTAACCCAGGTTATTTTTTGTAGCTATACTTTACAGATGTCCCCTAAATGCCTCACATGCAGACTGTCAGAAATGATACCATTTACAGATGTTCCCTAAACGCCTCACATGCACGCAACAGGTGGATGCTAGCTAGCAGCTACACACAGAAGCCACCACTGACTCTGTGACTTTCTCGCCACACAGGACAGTCACTTTAACCACCCGGTCTGGTCCGGTCCCAGTCTCACTTCCTGGTTCTACCACCACAGTTCCTCTCCTCCACTGCTCCGGGTGCTCGCCCTCTCGCGCCCGTGCAGCCTCAACATCTCCAGGACGCTCCTGGCGTAGGCGTCCCGTAAGTTCGGGCCTCCCCCGACCCCTCCCTCCCCCGTCTCCGCCACCGAGCCGCGGGCCAGCCTCTTGAGCATCTCGCCGTGCCGCACCGCCGCCTCCTTCATCTTCAGGGTGAAGTAGCAGGCGGAGAAGCGGTCGTTGATGATGGCGATGGGCAGCGACAGGATGAGGATCCCGGACAGGATGCAGAGGAAGGCCAGCACCTTCCCCACAGTCGTGTCGGGACGGATGTCGCCGTAGCCAACCGTGGTCATGGAGGTGGTCGCCCACCACCAGGCGGCCGGCACACTGGTGAAGGTGGTGGCAGGAAGGTCGTGCTCCAGGGCGAAGACCACCATGGCAAAGATGGAGATGCCGACGCCGAGGAAGAGGAGGAGGAGACCGACTTCCTCGTAGCACTGAGCGATGGTCATACCCAGAGACTTGAGACCTGGACAGAGAGGAGGACAGAGGAGTAAAGGTGAGCAGACATTATCTGTGATAGTTTTTAGGATTATTCTTTCCTTGTAGCCAGATATTTTCTCTCCACTGTGAAAATCAGTTTGCTGAAGTTCAGATTTTAAAGACTTCATTGGTCAAAAATGTTTCTGCCCTCAGCTGGTGGAAGGTGGTTGATTTTTGAATGTGTGTAGGAGGTGGGAACAGACTGAAGGCCTTTTCCATCAGAGGGGGAGCAGTTCAAGTAAAAAAATCCAACCCCTTCGTTTTGCTTTTCACGGTTCGGGACGTGTCTGTATTATTCAGTTCATTTGAAAACAGGCTGTGAGGCATACACAGAGTAAAACTTTTAATAAAGTTACTGAGAAACTAGAATTGACGCCTGGTAAGCTTCCAGCTAAGTGTCAGGAAATATGGTCACAGTCTCTCCTTCCTGAGCTACAGCGTTCAATAATGACCAGAAGTGTTTTTGCGGAACATTATGATGTTGCAGTGAAGTTGACCTTTGACCTTTTGGCATATAATTTATCCTTTATAGACATTTGAGTTAAATTGTGTCACAATTAGTGAATTAATTTGTGAGTTATGGCCAAAGATGTTTTGTGAGGTCACAGTTAACCAGTGATGAAATTCTCTCTGAGCGTTCCTGATATATTGCTTTCACAAGAACGTGAGGTCACCGTGACCTTAAACTTTGACCCTTGACCTTTAAAATCTAATCAGTTCATCCTTGAGACCTTGTGAATGTTTGTGTCAAATTTGAAGAAGTTCCATCAAGGCGTTACTGAGATATCGTGTCCACAACAAGGAGATGGACAGACAGACAACCTGAAAACAAAATGGCTGCCGCTCTGACTGTCGCTGGTGCAGAGACATAAAAAGCCTCAATAACTGAGTGAAACTCCTCAGTTATCAGCCGTCAGTCTGGGATATGGCAGGTGGACAGAGTGAAGTTAGAGGATCCAGCAGCCTCGTTAGAGATAACACGGTGACTGTACAGCACACGTGGCTAATGCTAGCAGCAACACGAGGAGAGAGCAGCTCCTCCATGCAGATTCAGACAGGCCAACATCCATAACTAAAGCATTGTGGGTAGGGATGGGTACCGAAACCCGGTATTAAACGGCCCCCAGGGTGAAATCTTTAAACACCGGAGTATCAATAAGCTCCGGCGTTATTGCTTCTGCTTCTGGTACTGGAGAAATGAAGAAAATAGATTTCCTGTTTATTATTGAGACATTAATGTTCTCCCGCACATTTCCTCTCACCAACTCCGTTTCTGATTAAGACGTTCGTTCCCAGAGGATAAACCTCTCCACTGACACCACAACTTTACATTTCAGCTCCACAACTGATAGAAGAGAGTTAAGACTGTTTGTTCTGTCCAGCACTTTCATATTGTGGCTTTAATGAACTCGGCCGCCTGCAGGGACCCCAGACTTTAATTTCTTCATAAAAGATGATGAGATTCAAAGTGCAATTTATAAGTGTGACGTGCTTTGAGTGGAGCTGATAATGACTGATGTTCCAACACAGAATTCAATTTTTAAAATTCATTTATCATTTATCCAACCGCACAGTTACAGAAAGAAAAGAATAAACACGAGTCCACAAATATAGTTTTCCATAAGAAGTTGCTGTTTGAAAATGATGATTCGCCGTTTTAATTTTAAACCATAATTAGTGAAAGTGGAAACATAACGTCAGATAACAGCTGATCCACAGTCTTCTGTTCACAGCAGCAGCTTTTGTCTCTATTGTCTTAAATTTGTGTTTGCCTGCGGTCGCTGGTGAGTGACAGCGTGTGATCGTCCTCATTTCTTTCTTTTGTTTGTTTTTTTTTTTTTTCTCCTCCAAACGTGAAAAGCCCAAAAGAGTCTGAGGACCGGAGCCACTCAGCGAGGAGAAAATAACAAGCGGCAGATAGAGAGAGAGAGAGAGAGAGCAAACAGCAAATTTATAAATACACCCACATATGAGGTGAGCCACTCACGGGGGCCGGCGTTCACACCCCAGAATGACTTGTCATCTCTCTATTCTCCTGCGAGAGAGAGGAAGAAATGAGCTTTGGTGCTGAGTTTAAAGAGGATTTGAATTGAGCTCATGAGGAGGTTTTCTTCAGGCTGGAGGACGGAGAGTGTTTACCTCATCTGGAGAAACTGAGTCAGAGCAAATCAGCGCGTCACAGTTCGCTTTCACTCAATTTTCACAATAGGATTTAAAGTGTAAAAGTCTGTCGGACACATTTAACAATAAATACAGTTTCTTCCTGTGTTTGAGCAGGTCTGTCTGAAGTTTGTCCTTCTGGGCTCCTGTCCAGACATCACATCCTGCTCTCTCTTTTTTATTAAATGTTTTTTTTTTTTTTTAATGTGCTGAGCCTCAGTCTGGCTCTGCTGAGAGAAGACAGGCTAAAACATGATGTGTTGTTATGATCTGATATTTATGGAAACAGATGAGAAGAGAGACTGAACTCTCCAACATCTTGTCTGCACATCTGCACAGTAAAAGCAGCTTGTCAGCAGCTGTGAGCGTCACACTGAATCTGTTCAGCCTCTCAGAGCTCACAGGTTCAAACAGATGAGTCACTCCCACCTTCAAATCGCCCCATTAGTTCCCTTAAATTAGTTTGGCTGCACGGAGGCTGTCTTCTGATTGGCTTATGTTCATGTTTTTCTAGGTTTTGGTTCTTAAAACCCCAAACAAAACATTAAAACTTCAGTGAAAGTGTAAAATATGGGATATATTTAAAATATCATATATGACAGGAAACATTGTGATATTCGATATCAAATATTAAGTGAAGTCGAGTGTCTTCCATCTTCTTTGCAGTTAGAAAACTTAAAAAACAACTACCTCATGTTGCAGTTTCCATGAATGAACGTGTTCATGTTTGTAACCTCATTCTATCTCTTGTTTTCACGCTCATACTTCAGTCTTTGTCTTCTCTCCTCATCCTCCTCCTCCTCCTCTTTTCCTTCTCCTTCACCCTCCAACTCTTTCCATGTTCTCTTCTATTATTCATGAGTTGAGCTCAGGGATCATCATCCTTCCCAAAATCACCCAGATCAAAGCGCTCGTACATCCCAGTCTGACACAAATACACTCACGCACATACAGTATAATCATATACACACACACATCCTCTCTTTCAAACACACTCCCTCTCTCTCTCTTCCCTCTATCTCCTGAAGGAATTTGCCAAAATATGAATCAATATATATATTTTTTTTCCTCTCTCGTCTTTGTTGTCCTCAGAAAACCTCTCGGCTGTAATCTCACAGCAGCAGCTTCTCACCGAGGAGAATTTCACTCGTAAACAACAACCCACATCTTGTTCTTCCCCCCCCCCCCACCCCCACCCCCCGACAGGCAGGAAGCACGTGTGGAGGGAGAGTGAATGGAAAACACAGTCGTCTCCTTCAGCTGTTGCTGCTGCTGCTGATCGTGAACCCTTCAGCTGAGTGATTCACCTGCTCAGACGAGGTCGTGTCTGAACTTTTTCACATCTTTTTGTAAACAACAACCCACATCTTGTTCTTGTTTATTATCTTTAGAAACAACCTGCACGGCCACATGAATGATATTTCAGATGTAAGCTGAAAGCAAGGGGTTCAGTGTGCGCCCGTTGTGTCGTCGTTGTTTTTACATGTCAGTTTGTTGAATTGATGATTTTAAAAACAAAGATATTGTCAGGTTTTGAAGGGAGCCTGATGCTCCCTCTCGACCACTGGGTTCCTCTAATGAAGGTCGTCTGGCATTGCCGTGTGTCAGTTACCTCTTTACCTTCGGTACCTAAAGTTTTCTTTTCTAAACTTCAATGTCTAAAAAGTATTTTCAGTGAATCTTTTTAAATACCTCCATGTTTAGATGTGTTTACCTGTCGAGTGTCGTCCCAGTTTCAGCATGCGGAGGGACCTGAGGAGTCGGAGGACCTGCACCACGCGGCCCATGTTCTCCAGCTCGGTGGTTCCTCCGTGGAGGCTCTCCACCGCCAGCGTCACGTAGAACGGCAGGATGGCCAGCAGGTCGATCACGTTGGGAATGCTCCGGCTGAAGCGACACTTATCTCTCACGCAGAGAAACCGAAGCGCCAGCTCGCCCGTGAACCACACCACGCACACGTACTCCAGGGCGTCGAACAGCAACGGTGCACCAACGCCGACGTCACTCACACCAAAGTCCTCCCCTAGGTCCAGAGAGATCAGCACCATGTTGATAAGCGACACCACCACGAAGAAGATCGACAGCGAGCCGAAGGTGCGAGCTGCTCGTGATGAATCAGGTTTCTCCAGAAGGTCCCACAGGCGCCGGCGGAGAGCCGGGCAGGCGGCACCCACAAAGTCCTCATCACCATCATCAGCCTCAAACTCTTTCTGAACATCGAGGGTCTCCTTCTGCTCCTTGCGCCGGTAGTAACGCTCACGACAGCAAGGGTTGATACGAAGCTCGTCGATGCCCCAGTACTCGATCTCCTGCAGGAAGGAGATCTCACACAGCTCCTCCCTGACGTGCAGGTGACCCGTCCGGTAGTAGTTCATCACATACCTGAGAAACAAAGAGACAGGTAGCATTCTGTCATTGACAAAATAACTCACAAACGGAAACAAATAACCCTCCAATGGAGACGATACTGTGGCTTATTTTGTGTTATTTTTTGCTACAACTCAAGGTGGTTTATCTTGATCAGTCTGTAAGATGAAGCTCTATTTCATCTCTCCAACCTTTTGGGGTGAGACCAAGGAAAGGTTTTCAGCTATCAGCTTGCAAATGGATCGGTCAAGACTTCACTCGTGTTGGTCTGGTTCTCTGATCTGATTTTAGCCAGGTGTAATGACATCCGTCCAAAGTTAAAGGGCACCTGCTTTCTCAGCCTGTCCGTCAAAAACCTTCAGACGGGCCCTTCGTCTGCGAAGAGTGGTGGTGTTCATACATCAGAGCTGCTTCTGCGGACTCTTTAGAAACAATGCCGCCGGCAACAACAGTGTTGAATTCCATGAGGACATCATCAGTTAACGAGAGCTGACAGCACACCTGTGACGACGACCTCCGGTGTGAACATCAGGTGTTGTCAAATGTTTGACTCGAGGCACAAACACACTGGAAGCATCAGGTGAACACACAAGTTCAGTTCCTGCAGCTCAGGCATCAGATAAACCATAAATCCTCTGATGGTGTATGTAAATGCTTTTATGTAGGTTGATGGATTGATGGATTTCCACTGGAAAGTTTGTTTCCCAGTTTGTGCCTGAGAAACATAAATATCTATCAAAAGTTTACCTGTTGTTGGTGCTGCAGTAAACTTCAGGGGATGGCCAAGTAGGTAATGTTCACCCTCTGGGAATCATGAATGTCTTCACAAAAATTCAAGGTAATCTATCTAATAGTTGTCGAGTCACTTCAGTGGTACTTGTTTATGGTTAAGGCACGTTTGTGTTCATGGTTTAAAAGCAGAGTTGACTGTGACAGGAAGTAAACAGCGGACTGTGTGCGTCAAAGTGAAAAACTTTGAACCACCTCCTTCCTAAAAGTAGTTCATACCTTCATCACAGCTACCTGTCGGACGGTCGAACGCCCTGGGAAATCTGCTCCTTCCAGACCTCTCAGATCGATGGGAGGGAAGGGTGTGGTTGGCTTTCCAGTCTGATGCTAGCATTAGCTTGGTTTCCAGAATTGGCATATTGTAGTTTTAAGCTAATCCAGTATTCCCTGTTCGTTCGTGTTAATGAATACCTTAAAGGAAACTTTGAAGCCAACGTTAGAGGCTTAGTAGACATTTTTAACTCTGGTGCATCATTAGAATATTTTTACCATCATAAGTTACGGAGTAGTTACTACAACAGGACATCATGCATGGCTCAGAGAGGAGAAGGTGGCTCCACCTACTGGAAAGTCTGCGAGTTGCGGTCAAAGAAGAACTCGTTCTCCAGGAAGTCAGCGTCGTCGCAGAGCTCCAGGGCCGAGTCACGGCTGCTGCAGGCCAGTTTCCCCAGCCGGGTCTCCGGGTAAGACGCCAGCAGCTCCTGGGAAAGCACGTAGCGACTTCCTCCAACGTTGATGATGAAGAAGTCGAGCGGGTCTCTGATGCAGGACGCCGTCGTCTCGCTGAAGAAGACACTGGAGTCCAGAGACACCGGGGAGGCGCTGCCGCTGTAGAACTCCGCCGCCGCCACCAAGCTGGAGGAGGGGAGGCTCATGGTGGAGGAGCTGGTGGAGAGGTGAAGGGCAACACATTACTCAACTTTAATGTTTATGCCTTGACAGAACTTCCTCAAATATGTCACAAACATTCATGTGGACTCAGAGATTAACTGATTAGATAGTGGCTGCTAAAGGTCAAAGGTCATAGTGACCTCACAAAAGACTTTTTAGCTGTTACTCAAGACTTCACAGCAATTAACCTGAAAGATTGGCAGAGGGATACGACCACGGGGAGGTGATTGTAGTTATTCTTTATATGTCGTATATAAGTATCAGCAGTGGTAGCTGTAGTGTCGTAGTCCTGTTGTTAGAAGAGATGTTTTCATGGAGCTCTTTCCAGAACATCCTCACTCAACCTCAGTTATAGCAGCACAGCAAGAATGAATCAAAGGGAAGAGAAAAAGACGGACTCACAGAGGGGTGGAGGGTGACAACCAGAGAGAAAGAAGAAGAAAGCTGATTTCCCAAAATGAGAAACAGAGATGTAGGGACGACAGAGACAAAGCGCCGGGCAGTGTCCTACTTGTAGCAGATCTCTGGCTGCTGCCGTATTTAAATATTTTAGCTGGCTTACCTAATTAATAGATCTAATGCTACTATTCCTGTGATCATTCATTCCCTTTTTGCTAGGTGCCTCTGTCTAACACTGTCATCTCACTAATTCTTACACTCTGAATTTTACATGAGGCCATTTGTGCAGAGGCTGTGGTGTGATGACGGACAGACGCAGAGTTCAGGTCAGCGAGAGGAAACAAACATAAAGCCGGAGTCCAGATCTTCGCCAGTCTGCGGCGACGAGGTGTGACTGAACTGATGTTGAGGTTGTGTGGACGGGTCGTGCACAGCTGCACTGAATCATTCAGGAGCTCAGATCTGAACAGGTGCTGTGGGACATGCCTGTATGGACAGAGAGCTGATGTGTGACTCAGTTACAGCAGCAGAAGAAGCCTGAGGGGTTTGACTCTGTGTGAGAATATAAACATGTTTCCTGTTTGACTGTAATGGTATCCTCAACCAGCACAGGTCACATGATGAAAATCTTTTCTGGTTTTGGTTCTACATCGTGGTGTTACCGCTCTTTGGTCATGTCTTGTCATTTTTAAACACTTCCTGTCTTATTTTGATATCACTAACTCTCCCTCTCGTCTCAGATTCAGTTCCTGCCCTCGTGTGTTTCCCGCCACTGTGATTGTCTGCCCCGCCCTAAACCTGCGTAACTGACACAAATAAAAAATGTTTTTTCAGACAAGTAATCAAAGCAATATTTTGCAAAAGTGAAATGGAAACACTTAAAGTGTAGAAATGATCCTAATGTGCACACATTCAGAAACATCTAAAAATAACAAACACTAAAAGAAATGTCAGGAAATAAAGTATAACCAAACTCTGTGAGCGATTCCAATCCAAAAATGAATTGTTCTGTGGCAACTGAAAGTAAATCTGACTTTGTAAACTGCTGTAAACCCTCCACGGAAGAAAACTCATCAGTAACTAGAAGTGATGTGAAGAATGAATGCATTAAACATTATGCATTTTAAATTAAAGGTCATAGCTGGAGGAAATATGTGTATTCACCACTGACTTTACATAAACACTTTATGTATTCACTAATTTATGTACATGCTGTATATGTGCAACCTTTTTCTTAATTAATTAATACTTAAATGTGACACCCAAAAGGTGCTCAGTCCACGCCGGGTTTACAGGACACCGACATTAAGCAAAAGAAAGAAACATACAAATGTAAACGTGTACATTCGTCAGGTTAAACTGCCTGAGATGTTTGTATTTAAATAGGTGACACTTCCTGTCCTCTGTGACTGAGTGTGTTTAGTTTCCTCAGACAAAGAACTCGACACCATAGACTCTGAACTGGGTGATAATTTAACATTACATTCAGCTCAGTTTTTACTTTCTATTTGCTCACTGCTTCCTTCCATTGTAAAGCAAAAGTAATAAGTTGTAAATATGTTTTTGACGTTATTTAAGGACAGACTGAACTCTTTAATGTTCATATTACCACTGTCAGACTCAGTCCTCCTGGCGTTTGAGGATTTTTTTAATTACACATTAATGTTGTAGAAATGATTTCATCAGTTTTTCCCTCCATTTAGTTTCTCTGTTTTAGGACAGTGCTCAACATATTTCAGTTTAACATTTACAGAGAAGTTCTGTGTCGTGGTTTTAATCTTTCGGGGATTTCTGTTCTTGAAAAATGCTGAGACCAGATTTCACCGCATTGATTTCTGTAATAAAAGCAACAACAGATTATTATTGGGCTTAATTGTCAGAGATGTGATATTTTCTGCACTGAGTTACATCATACAAACATCTCACAAAACTACATCGAACAGGATCTAGATTTCTCATCATTAGCTGAGACACAGATGTTATTAACAGATGCTCCTCTGTGTGTTTGTCTTCTCAGCTCAAGGCTGCACGAGAAGAATAAACCGAGGTGAATCTCTGACTCTTACCTGGTCTAAATGAAGAGAGTCTTCTGCATCTTTGTTGGATGTGAACTCCACATTTTCATGAATCCTACGAGGTAAAATCCTGAGAAAAGTCAGTTTTTTGTTTGTTTGTTTGTTGTTTTTTTTTAGAAATGATCACATGATGAGAAAGACGGAGGAGAAAGTTTTCTGTGTCCTTGTTCGAAGAGGACAAAGTCTCCACATCGGTTCATCAACGCTGCAGAAGGCGGCAGCTCCTGGAGCCTCAGCTCTCTGCTCTCTGGGATTCGCGGTGCGGTTTTAAAATAGTGTGGTGGAAGGTATGAGGAGTGATTAATGCCACTCTGAAGAAGGCCTTCAGTATGAAGGTTAATAGTCTTTCAGTCTGTTCAAACTTAGATGTTATTACCCTGGTATTTCATCTCTTTAATGCTAATGAGTCAGTAAATTTAAAACATTTTTGGTGACAGGAAAAGTTTAAAGAAAGTACAGAAATTAATAAATAAAATGAATATAGATTTTAAAGTCCATATTATCTTAATAGGAGAAACTTTTTGAAGCTGTATTTCATATACAAGGTAGACTTTAAGGAAGTACAGAGGGGAATTAGTGCTACATGAAAAAAGCTACAGAGACTGAAGCCTTCATGAATAAGGACTAATTCTTTATTTTTCTGAAAGTAATCGAATCTCATGAAAATGAAAAACCAGCAATTTATTTGTTGTCTCACCACAGTTTCATACTGAAAATATAAATCTCTAACACACCTCAAAAATATATATTTTTTAAATTTAAAGGCTCAATAGTTGCTGTTCACCTTAAGTTTTATCAAAAAAATGTGGGACTATTTTCAGTGGCGGATTAATCCACATTTGATGCTCAAGAAAGTATTTGGGGTTGCAGGATTATTGTATCAGATTGAGTAAAAATAAACATTGTGAGTGGACTGAGGTACATTTATACATTTGCTTCTGCCTTTGGACTTTTCATGGGATTTTTGACAATGAGAAAAGTTTACAATAATCCAATTTTGCCTTTTGAAATAAAATTAAAAACATGCACATGAATTAAAAAGGACCTTCGTCCAATTATGACATTGTAATTCCTCTAATGTTTTTCAGTTTTCAGTCTCAATTCAGTAATCCAAATGAATAAACCAAAATTATAGGAATAAGATTTCCCTTACAGCTCACTTTTAAAGTTGTTTCCATGACAACCTCTCTGGTTTGGCTCATCTAGCGCTCGTGGCATTAATCACCCTCTATACAGAACTGCAGGGAGGGCTCCATTCAGATGCTGCTGCTAGGCAACAGACTGGTTTTTCCTCAACAAAACTTTATGGAAATTAAAAAGATGCTCCACTTTTAGAGCACACATTCCTGCTCCCACAGCGCCACCATGTGGTCTGCCTCACACCAGCATAATGAAACAATAAGAGATATTTATGAACATAAACTCAGGTCTCAGTTTTATATTCTATTTAGTGTTAATGTATCTTTGCTGAATCATTATTTATTACAAATGTAATGATTTTGGATGATATATGTAGAAATAATGGGTGAATGACAGTCTGTTTGTAAACGTATTTCATTAACCAATATTTCATATTTCACCCATAATCTTAAAATCACAGGTTAATTCTCTCTTTCACTGGTTGATTTGATGGTTACATTACCACTTGATGACAGCACTATAATTGTTTACTGTAATGGATTCAATTTCTTTAAGCAATTTTCTAGAATTTACAAGACAATTTTTCACAGATACCTTTGCACAAATATTGGAAATCCATGTAAAAACAGATGATGATCTGCAGGAACGTAGAATTTAGAGGTGAAATCTATTAAAACGTGCACCTGAAGGTCTTAATATGAGATGTATACAGATAGACAGAATCTGATTAATTAAGCCCAGGATGTTAATGATAAACCAAATTCATCTGTGCAGATGTTTGGATCTTCTGGCAGCTGACTCGTCCTCCCGGCCCGCTGACCACTCATCAACGACGTCCATCTCCTGAAGCAATTACAGCAGCATCAGACTGTGAGCCGGACATACCTGCTGCCCCGTGTCTCATTATTCATCCATACATGTCTGAATAAGGAGCCTTCAGCTGCTCAGGTCTGCATACATCATACATCACAGTCTGTATGATAATCAGCGATGTACAGGAGACACAGATTGACCTGAATGGAAATCAATGAGGTAATAAAGTATAAAAGTTCCATCTTATCCCCATGTATTGATAAATATTTGAAATGTGATTAGGTTAAATAAAAAACCGTCCTCTTGTAATGTTGCTTGCCACAGTCCTGGGGTCAGTGTTCCAGTTTTTGGCGTCTGAACGCAAACAAGCAAAAGTTTTCTGCTCGTCACAAAGTAAGTTTGTTGTTCCAGAGACTCTGTTACACAATATAGACCAACTCCATCTTTATAAAACATGTTACACTCACACAGAATGATGGCGTGTTTGAGCGCGGTACTGATAGACTCTATCGTCCCACAGAGCTGTGAACAAAGACAAACACAGGAGCTTCTCACAG